TGTTCATTGACACGTATTTCAAAGGTTCCGTGTTCCCCCCCCCCCTTTCAACTCATTATCTTTTGTCGCCGTTCCCAAAGGGTTAGTGTTAAAAACGAATTCGAAATGGTCTCTTGGTGGTTCGACTTTGGCCTGGTTAGATTCCCTTATTGAAGTTCTGGATGTAAGGCGACTCTAGTGTTAGCTTTGTGCGGCACTTTAGACACGGTTCAGTGCAAACCTGGCTGTTGGGAAGGATTATAACTTTGTTAGGAGTGGTGTTAGTTTTGCGTAGAGATTTAATGTATCCGAAAGAGCTCTTTCTTGCAGTCTTTGATGGAAAAGGCGAAGAAAATGTAGATCAGTGTGAAGGTTTGGTGTATGACAAGTACATTCCTCGTCAAGAAACTCGGACTACAATTCGGTTTATGCTCTTAGGAAAGATCCGAGATCGATGATGCCTCTATTCGTCTTAGATTCTTGACTGAATAAAGTGGATGAGAACATTTTTGTTTGTAGGTTTACGGTAGATAGTTATCTACTTTGTGAATAAGGACGTCTAGAAAAGGTTGTTTATCAGGGATTCTGGCCGCATTTCTTTCCATCCATCGACTGTTAGTGCAGAGGTACAGAAGTTTTGCGAATTGAACTTAATCTTTAATGTGTGTTACCTGATCATGTACGTGTACTGGCCAGGTTGTCGCAAAACACAGTTGTATTGGCCAGGTTGTGACAACACACAGTCGTACTGGCCAGGTTGTGACAAACAGTCGTACTGGCCAGGTTGTGGCAACACACAGTCGTACTGCGACCATTTAGTGACACACCCAGTCGTACTGGCCAGGTTGATAAACAGCACACAGTCGTACTGGCAAGGTTGTGGGCAACATACAGTCGTACTGGCAGGTTGTGGCAAAACCTCAAGTGGTACTGGCCAGGGTTTTGACAACTCACAGTCGTATGGCCAGGATGTGACAAACACACGGTCGTAATGGCCAGGTTGTGACAACACACAGTCGTATGGCCAGGTTGTGCGGCAAACACAGTCGTACTGGCCAGGTTTCTGGCCCACCCCACCCATACACACAGTAGTTACTGCCAGGTTGTGGGCAAACACAGTAGTACTGGTGGTGGGTCTGTGGCCAACACAAACAGTTATGGCCAGGTGGTGGAACACACAGTGGTATTGGCAGGTTGTGGCAACACACAGTCGTTACTGGGCAGGTTGTGGCAACAAACTGTCGTAATAATGGCCCGATGTGCCACACACAGTGGTACTGGCCAGGTTGTGGCACAAAACAGTCGTCTTGGGCAGGTTGTGGCAACAAATCAGTCGTACTGGCCACGGTTGTGGGAACCAAACAGTCGTACTGGGCCAGGTTGTGGCAAACAAACAGGCGTATGGGCAGGTTGTGGCGCAAACACACAGTTGTACTGAGCCTGGTTGTGGCAACACACAGTCCGTGCTGCCAGGTTAAGTGGCAACAAACAGTGGTATGGCTCCAGGTTGTGGCAAAAACACAGTCGTACTGGCAGGTTGTGGCAACTCACAGTAGTACTTTCAGGCTGTGGCAAACACACAGTTTCGTACAGGCCAGGTTCTGTGGCAATACCAGTCGTACTCGGAAGGTTGTGGTAACACACATCGTATGGCAGGTTTGTGACAAACACAGTGTTCTGGCCAGTGTGTGGTCAACACACAGTCGTACTGGCCAGGTTGTGGCAACACACAAGTCCGTACTGGCCCAGGTTGTAGGCAAACAGGTAGTACTGGGCAGGTTGTGGCAACACACAGTCGTTTACTGGCCAGGTATGTGGCAACACACAGTGGTACTAGCCTGGTTGAGGGAAAAACACACAGTCGTTCATGGACAGGTTGTGGCCAACACACAGTCGTACTGGCCAGGTTGTCGGCAACACACAGTCGTACTGGGCAGGTTGTTTGGAACACACAGTCGTACTGACCAAGGTTTTGGCAACACACAGTCGTAATGGCCATGTTGTGGCAACACAGTTCGTTAACTGGTGAGGTTGTGGCAACAAAACCGTCGTACTGGCACAGGTTGTGGCAACACACAGTGTTATTGGCCAGGTTGTGGGCAACCCACAGTCGTACTGGCCCAGGTTGTGCTAACAAACAGTCGTACTGGCAGGTACCCCCCCTGTGCCAACCACACAGTGGTTACTGGCCAGGTTGTGGACAACAAACAGTCGTACTGGGCAGGTTGTGGCAACAAACAGGTCGTTACATAGCCAGGTTGTGGCAACAAAACAGTCGTACTGGGCATGGTTTGTGGCAACAAACAGTCGTTACTGGGCAGGTTGTGGCAACACACAGTCGTTACTGGCCAGGTTGTGGCAACACACAGTCGTGCTGGCCAGGTTAGTCCGGCAACACACAGTGGTACTGGCCAGGTTGTGGGCAACACTCAGTCGTACTGGACAGTTGTGGAAACACACGTCGTACTTTCCAGGCTGTGGCAAAAACAGTGTACAGGCCAGGTTGTGGCTAATACTCAGTCGTACTGGCCAGGTTGTGGCATAACACAGTCTTACTGGCCGGTTGATGACAAAACACAGTGTACTGGCCAGGTTGTGTCTAACACACAGTCGTACTGGCCAGGTTGTGGCAAACCACACAGTCCGTACTGGCCAGGTTTGTGGCAACAAGTCGTAACTGGGACAGGTTGTGGCAAAACACACAGTCGTACTTGGCCAGGGCTTGTGGCAAACACACTTGGTACTAGCCAGGTTTGTTGGACAACACACACAGTCGTTCTGGGCCAGGTCTGTGGGCAACACACAGTCGTACTGGCCAGGTTTGTGGCATCACACAGTCGTATGGCCAGGTTGTGGCAACACACAGTCGTACTGGCCAGGTTGTGGCAACACACAGTCGTACAGGCCAGGGTTTGTGGCAAATGTCCGTACTGGGCAGGGTGTGGAAACACAACAGTCGTACTGGCCAGGTTGTGGCAACCCAATTGGTACTTAGCAGGATGTGGGCAAACACAGTCGTACTGGCCAGGTTGTGGCAACACACAGTCGTATGGCCAGGTTTGTGGCCAACACCTGTCGTACTGGCCAGGTATGTGGCAACAAGCAGTCGTACTGGCCAGGTTTGTGGCAACACACATTCGCATGGCACAGGTTGTGGCAACACACAGTCGTACTGGCCAGTTTGTGGCAACACACAGTTCGCACTGGCAAGGGTTTGTGGCAAAACACACAGTCGTACTGGGCAGGTTGATGTGGCAACACGAGTCGTACTGGGCAGGTTTGGGCAAACACACAGTGTACTGGCCAGGTTTGTGGCAACACTTAGTCGTACTGGAGGTTGTGGCAACACCTCAGTCGTCTAGCCAGGTTGTGGCAACAACAGTGGTACTGGCCAGGTTGTGGCAACACAGTCGTACTGGCCAGGTTGTGGCAACACACAGTCGTACTGGCCAGGTTGTGGCAACACACAGTGGTACTGGCCAGGTTGTGGCAACACAACAGTCGTACTGGGCAGGTTGTGGCAACACACAGTCGTACTGGCCAGGTTGTGGCAACACACAGTCGTACTGGCCAGGTTGTGGCAACACACAGTCGTACTGGCCAGGTTGTGGCAACACACAATCGTACTGGCCAGGTTGTGGCAACACACAGTCGTACTGGCCAGGTTGTGGCAACACACAGTCGTACTGGCCAGGTTGTGGCAACACACAGTCGTACTGGCAAGGTTGTGGCAACACACAGTCATACTGGCCAGGTTGTGACAACACACAGTAGTACTGGCCAGGTTGTGGTTGTGTATACAAACAATTTCTGCGCTTGTTAGGCTTTCAGTGCCAAATGTAAAAGACGGATAAATAAACAAAAATGAAAGCAGTGTAATGGGTATTCATCTGCAATAATAAAACACTCACAAATACTTTTAAACAGCTATATAAGTAAAAAAACAACTTGTTCTCAGTATATTTTCATAGTGTAACATAAAAGGATTTCCAAAATTTACATTAATTAGCCTCTCGGAGGTGGCCGAACTGTGAGGCCGCTTGGTGGCGTCTAGCTGACCTACGGTCCAGGCTGTCTTGGTGGGTGTAATTACTGGACGCAGTTTTCTGTGTGTGTCACCTCCAGTAATTCCACCCACCTGGACAGTCTCTACCGTAGACCAGCTAGACAAGACCAAGTTTCCATGCAGCGAGGTCACTGAAGGTGGCAACCGCTGACTCTGGGGAAGTGGGGAAGGGAGTCCACCTGAGGTGACACTAGTGGACTCCTGGAGACACTGATCCGGGGAAGGCACCGCTGACTCTGGGGAAGTGGGGAAGAGAGTCCACTCAGGTGACACAAGTGGACTCCTGGAGACACTGATCCGGGGAAGGCACCGCCGACCTTAGGGAAATGGGGAAGGGAAGACATCCGGAGCGAGCGGATGGATTCCTGGATACATGAACTTGAGGAAGGTTGTTGTTGAGGCTGAAATTGGGTAAGTGGGGAAGAGGAGACATCCGGAGCGAGCGGATGGATTCCTGGATACATGAACCTGAGCAAGGCAAGAATACATGCAGTTGAGGCTGACCTTGGGTAAGTGGGGAAGGGAAGATATCCGGCGGTAGACGGAAGGATTCCTGGATACATGATCCTGGGAATGGCAAGAATACCGCTGACCTTGGGGAACTGGGAAAGGGAGTCCACTCAGGTGACATAAGTGGACTCCTGGAGACACTGATCCGGGAAAGGCACCGCCGACCTTAGGGAAATGGGGAAGGGAAGACATACGGAGCGAGGGGATGGATTCCTGGATACATGAACTTGAGGAAGGTTGTTGTTGAGGCTGAAATTGGGTAAGTGGAGAAGGGGAGACATCCGGAGCGAGCGGATGGATTCCTGGATACATGAACCTGAGCAAGGCAAGAATACATGCAGTTGAGGCTGACCTTGGGTAAGTGGGGAAGGGAAGATATCCGGCGGTAGACGGAAGGATTCCTGGATACATGATCCTGGGAATGGCAAGAATACCGCTGACCTTGGGGAAGTGGGAAAGGGAGTCCACTCAGGTGACATAAGTGGACTCCTGGAGACACTGATCCGGGGAAGGCACCGCCGACCTTAGGGAAATGGGGTAGGGAAGACATCCGGAGCGAGCAGATGGATTCCTGGATACATGAACTTAAGGAAGGTTGTTGTTGAGGCTGACCTTGGGTAAGTGGGGAAGGGGAGACATCCGGAGCGAGCGGATGGATACCTGGATACATGAACCTGAGCAAGGCAAGAATACATGCAGTTGAGGCTGACCTTGGGTAAGTGGGGAAGGGAAGATATCCGGCGGTAGACGGAAGGATTCCTGGATACAAGATCCTGCGGACGGCAAGAATACCGCTGACCTTGGGGAAGTGGGGAAGGGAGTTCACCTGAGGTGACATAAGTGGATTCCTGGAGACACTGATCCGGCGAAGGCACCGCCGATCTTAGGGAAATGGGGAAGGGAAGACACCCGGGATACATGAACTTGGGGAAGGTTGTCGTTGAGGCTGACCTTGGGTAAGTGGGGAAGGGGAGACATCCGGGAGCGAACGGATGGATTCCTGGATACATGAACCTGGGATGGCAAGAATACATGCAGTTGAGGCTGACCTTGGGTAAGTGGGGAAGGGGAGACATCTGGGAGCGAACGGATGGATCCCTGGATACATGAACCTTGGCAAGGCAAGAATACATGCAGTTGAGGCTGACCTTGGGTAAGTAGGGAAGGGAAGATATCCGGCGGTAGACGGAAGGATTCCTGGATACATGAACCTGGGGACAGCAAGAAAACAGGTTGGTGAGGCTGACCTTAGGGAAGTGAGGAAGGGAAAACATCCGGAGGCAGACAGATGGATTCCTGGATACATGAACCTGGGGAAGGCTGAGGCTGGAAGGCAGAGAGAGAAAGAGAGGCGAGGCTGACCTTAGGGAAATGAGGAAGGGGAGACATCCGGGGGCCCACGGATGAATTCCTGGACACATGAACCTGGGGAAGGCGAGGGGGGGGGGACCTTAAAGACGAACCACTGGCCTCCACGTGGCAAGGTCTGGTAACTCAGAGATAACTCTGAGGCTGACAGTGGTCGCAAATATATTATAATTCATTATAATATATTATTATTATGTTATTATTATTATTATATTATTATTATTAATTATTATTGTTATTATTCATTATTTGGATTCAAAAGCGTCAACCAGCCTCCCTGACAGTAGCATCGGTGATGTTATTCCCACTCCAGCCTCCCTGACAGTAGCATTGGTGGTGTTATTCCCACTCCAGCCTCCCTGACAGTAGCATCGGTGATGTTATTACCACTCCAGCCTCCCTGACAGTAGCATTGGTTGTGTTATTCCCACTCCAGCCTCCCTGACAGTAGCATCGGTGATGTTATTCCCACTCCAGCCTCCTTGACAGTAGCATTGGTGGTTTTATTCCCACTCCAGCCTCCCTGACAGTAGCATTGGTTGTGTTATTCCCACTCCAGCCTCCATGACCTTAGGGAAATGAGGAAGGGGAGACATCCGGGGGCCCACGGATGGATTCCTGGACAAATGAACCTGGGGAAGGCGAGGGGGGGGGGGACCTTAAAGACGAACCACTGGTAGCACCGAGAATGAGTTGGAAGTTTCCACGGTAGTCTTCTGGTTTCTCGTTGTTTCTGCCTCTCCAACCGTTTTCTTGATCTTCAGCTTGGTTCCATGTTGCCCGGCCACTGACCAAGCTCCCCTCTTAACCTGGGGACTCACAACAGAAGGATTACTACGAATCCTCTTGTTCTCCTCCGTTAATCGCCGTATCTCCATCTTAGCAACTCTGAGCTCTTCTCTCAGCTGCTGGTAAAGTTGCTCAAGAGAGGGCATCCTGGTACAGATTCACAGAGAGCACACAAACAGGTCTTCACAGAGCTAAGTACACGTCACCACTGAGCTAAGTACACGTCACCACTGAGCTAAGTACACGTCACAACAGCTAAGTACACGTCACCACTCAAGCTAAGTACACGTCACCACTCAGCTAAGTACACGTCACCACTCAGCTAAGTACACGTCACCACAGCTAAGTACACGTCACCACTGACAACACACAGTCGTACTGGCCAGGTTGTGGCAATACACAGTCGTACTGGCCAGGTTGTGGCAACACACAGTCGTACTTGCCAGGTTGTGACAACACACAGTTGTACTGGCCAGGTTGTGACAACACACAGTCGTACTGGCTAGGTTGTGAAAACACACAGTCGTACTGGCCAGGTTGTGACAACACACAGTCGTACTGGCCAGGTTGTGACAACACACATTCGTACTGGCCAGGTTGTGACAACACACAGTCGTACTGGCCAGGTTGTGACAACACACAGTCGTACTGGCCAGATTGTGACAACACACAGTCGTACTAGCCAGGTTTTGACAACACACAGTCGTACTTTCCAGGTTGTGACAACACAGTCGTACTGGCCAGGTTGTGACAACACACAGTCGTACTGGCAAGGTTGTGGCAACACACAGTCGTACTGGCCAGGTTGTGACAACACACAGTCGTGCTGGCCAGGTTGTGACACCACACGGTCGAACTGGCCAGGTTTGTGACAACGCAAGTCCTTACTGCAGAGTGTGACAACACATTCGTGCTGACCAGGTATGTGTGCAACACACATTACGTACTGGCCAAGGTTGTGCAACACACATTCTACTGGGCTGGTTTTGACAACACACAGTCGTACACTGGCCAGGTGTGCAACACGCATTCGTACTGGTCCAGTGAGTGTACACACAAAACAGTCGTACTGGCCCAGTTTTCTGACAACACACAATTCGTACTGGCAGGTTGTGACAACCACACAGTCTACGGCCAGGTTGTAGAAACACACAGTGGTACTGCCCGTTGTTGTAGATAAGCACACAGACGATACTGGCGCAGTTTTTGACACACACCTCGTTACTTTCCAGAGTTGTGGCAACACACAGTCATAAAGCCAGGTTGTTGCGTTTACTTGTGAACATTGATCTGAAATAAAATACCGACAGATTGATAGGTAAACCACAAATGCAACATTAGGTATCTTTAATTTCGAAACGTTATTCGCCTACCACAGTAGGCTTCTTCAGTCGAGACGAAAAGTTGATAGAAGCAAAGATACTTGAAGACGATGAATCAGTCCATCACCCTTAAAGTTTGGGGCGGTCAGTCCCCTCATCTGGAGAAGAGCATTGTGCGTTGTCTAAACAATTATGAAGTTGAAGTGACACGAATGTGGGGCTCTTATACATAGTGCAGGAGTGAGACGTATGTTTGCTTTGGGAGGCAGGTCCCTCTCAAACCCAGCCGTCTCACTAGTACTAGGCATTGTACGCGAAGTTGATGTCTGTACCAAGATACCTTGTGTTGCGTGTCTGACAGAATAACATTCGAAATGGTATAAAAATACCCGACAAGTGTTAGGTAAGACACATATGCAACAAGTCCTATGCTTTATTCGAAACGTTTTTCGCCTACAACAGTAGCTTCATCCAAGTCGAGTAGCAGACTAGCGTATGAACTAGAAGCAAAGATTCTTTGAAGACAATGTAATCAAGTCCATCACCCCTTAAAATATTCCTTTGAGTGGTCAGTCCCTCAGTCTGGAGAAAGAGACATTGTTCCGTTTGTCTGAAACAATATGAAGTTGAAGTGACAGAATGGGGCCTTATATAGTGCCAGTAGGGGTGGAGACTAGGGTTGCTTTATAGGGAGTCCCTCTCAACCACCGTCTCAACATAGTAGCATGTGTCCGAATTGCAATGGTCCTGTACAAGATTACCCTTGTGTTGCAGTGTCTGACAAGGACATTGAAAATGGTATAAAATACCGACAGATGTTTTAGGTAAGACAATATGCAATAGTTAGCGTATCTTTATTTCGAACGTTTCGCTGCCACCCCCTAAACACAGTAGGCTTCTTCAGTCGAGTACAGAAAAGTTGATAAAATCAAAGATACTTGAAGGACATGATCATCCATCACCCTAAAGTTTTGAGGCGGTCAGTCCCTCAGTCTGAAGAAGAGCATTGTTCCCGTTGTTCCTGAAACAATTAGAAGTTGATGTATGACAGAATGGGCCTTACATATAAGTTTGCCACAGTGAGACTAGCTTTCTCCAAACTTTAAGGTGATGGACTGATTTACATCGACTTCAGTATCTTTCTCGCTTCTATCAACTTTTCTGTACTCGACTGAAGAAGCCTACTGTGTAGGCGAAACGTTTCCGAAATAAAGATACCTACTGTTAGGCATATGTGTCTACCTACAATCTGTCCGGTAATTTATACCCATTTCAATGTCATTCTGTCATGACAACTGCAACACAAGGGTATCTAGGTACAACATCAACTTCGACACCTCTCTATGATAGTACTGCTGGTTTGAAAGAGGGACCTCCCAAAGCAACCTACTTCTCACCTCCTGCACTTTATAAGCCCCCATTCTGTCACTTCCACTTCATATTGTTTCAGACAACGGAAAAATGCCCTTCTCCAGACTGAAGGTGGCTGGAGTTAAGACTCATGCAACAACGATTATCTTAATTGTAACTTTTCGCCATCCAGTGGCTTTATTCACTACAGAATCTAGCGGAACATAAGTTAGGAAGACAGAAGAACTATAATACAAAAGATATGAGGTAACACAGTCCCCCTCTGGCACTTGGAGTTAGTGTTCCCAGCAATCGTGGTGGAGGAGAGACTGGAGCAAAGGCAAGAAGACTGGCGCTTTTTATATAGGCGTCAGTTTGGAAGGGACGGGGGCAGCCGACGAGGGCAGTCCCACTGGTAGGCTGATTCCCCCTAGTGGAAGTAAGTCCTTCCAAAGAGATGGGTTAGTTGCAGCAGCCGTGAGAAGTCTTGTAGATGCCCTCTGAACCAAGATTCCATGATGCTTTGCAGTGTCCTGACAAGTTGTCTGTCAAAAAGGTATAAAATACCGACAATAAGAAAGTTTTAAGACACAGTCAAACATCCTGGATAATCTTTATTGGTAGAACGTTCGCCTCCAGTGCTTTATCAATACCAGCATTCTATGGACATCATAGGAAGACAGTATAACTATATACAAAAGCGAGGTAAACAATCCCCTCGCCTTAGGAGTCCTTAGTTTTCACAGCCATCGTGGTGGAGAGAGTCTGGAGCACAAAGGCAAGAAGACGGGGCAAATCCCGCCTACCACACGTGACTGCCCACGTCCTGCTGCCCGTACCCTTCCACTGACCCTATATAAACGCCAGTCCTTCTTGCCTTTGCTCCAGACTCTCCTCCACCACTGATGCTGTTAACACTAACTCCCTAAGGCCGACGGGACTGATTACCTCATCTTTTCTGTATATAGTTCTACTGTCTGCCTATTAATTGATCGCTAGACATCCGCTCTAGCGAATTCCTTGCATTGTTAAATCTCTAGTAAGGCTGATGCATGCCAGGGATGACAGATTGATGAAAAGTGTAAGCCTTTCTCCTGAAAGCCTGCTGCCTTGGTTCAAACCGTTAGCGCATGCTACAACGCCAAGTATGGTCCAGTGGTGGTAGATTGGTAAAGCACTGCGTACCTTTCTAAGGTTTCGTAGGTTCGAGGTCTCCTTCAGCAGAGATCAGTGTTTGTGGATATTTCGCATGCTCTCGCGAATTCCTTGCATCTGTCAAAACTCCTAGTAAGGCTGATGCACTCAGGGAGAGATGAAAAGCTTATGCCTTCTCCCTGAAAGCTGATGCCTTGGAATCAAACTGT